CCGCCGCCGCGCCCCGACCCTCACCCCGGGGCGGCAGCCGGGTCTCTGCCCCGGCTTTGCCCCCGCAAACGGTGACGAAACGCCCAGGAAATCCTGTGGAGCGTGTTGGAGCTTGGATCGGTAGCAACGGGAAGGCTTTGGAGCCAGGCAGAGCAGCGCGGCGCTCCTCCGAGGCTGCACAGCTTTGCAGGTTTTGAGGAGAGGCTCGGCTTAGGAAAAGGCCTCGAAGAGACCCAAATCTCCCGGTCGTCAGACTTCCCGTCGGGATTGGGCATGGAGATGAGCGGAGTTGGTGGGAGTACACCCAGCTGCCCGACACCCACCCCACAGACGGTGGATGACTCCGTTATTGGCAGCGTAGCGGTAGAACCTGATAACGGAGGACACAGCTGTGGGAGGGGTTGCCCTGGTGTGGTATTCCTCACAGCGGGAGGGGACGATGGTAGGCTGGACCGGTGCGGGTTTTGGATTGGTTTAGTTTTGTCCGTGTCATCATACCGGTGGAACAGCTTAGGAGGAAGAAGCTGTAAACCAGTACAAAAATAAAGCCCGGGTTACATTTTGTTATTATTTGTAATAACGTTTATTGTGTGTATATGTATGCATGTGTATAATAACGTATACCACGCGGAGCTCTATATGTGCACACAGCCTTATTACACTCGGTTCAGCACGATCATAGAAGGTGTTTCTGGACCAAAACGCTGTCCAATTAGAGAGCAAGTGAAAATCACCACATGCAAGTGGTAGAGGAGGAAAAAAGAAAAGACTTTGGTCAGTGTGATGGAGAGCAGCCTCCTGTGTTGGCACCTTAGCTACTCGTAGGTGTCAGGGTAAAAAGATACAGCAATAAAGAATTTGCATGGAAGAATTTACAGGAATCAGAACATGATGAAAGGAGAGGATACTGAACTTTGAAGTCGAGACGCTCAGTGCCACTGGTGACGGATCGGAAGCCGCGTGATACTGGTGTGTATGAAATGCAAGGTATAACGTTTCAGCCTTTCATGAAGGCAGTGGGTGTAAGTTGAAACAAGAGGTTGCCATCAAATATAAGGAAAACTCTTTCCCTGGAAGAGCAGTCAAACATTGGAAGTGCTCTGAGCAGGAGTTTGGGCTAGAGACCTCCTGAGGTCCCTTCCAACGTGAATTATCCTGCGATTCAATTCAGCTTTTTCAGGGTGGAAAGTCGTTTTGTCACCTCAGTTATGCTGGAAAGGGTTATCCAAAAGATTAGGAACAATACATTCAAAATGGTCCATTAGCTTAGCTGTTTTAAAAAATATAACTGAATTTTATATACTAGCAGATCCTGTGTCACAGAAAAGGTACAGGTCTGTGGTATATTTGCTATTTCATCTTATAAATAATGTAAATACCCCATGATTAAGGACAGTGAAAAATCTGTGTGGAGGTTGAGGGAATACATTTTTTGGTTTTTTACTTGTACAGCATTATATCCTACAACCTTAAGATATTGGTTTTGTTGTGAAGAAAGTAAAGTTACTGCTTCAAAATACCTGCACTGTACGGTTTTCCTATATACTAGTAGGAAAAGGGAAAAAAACTACATAGACTTCATTATATATTTTCAACATCATTGTGCTACAGTCAGAGCTAATTGAAAAATTCAGAGCAAGATTGCTTTTGATGACTGTCAAAATATTTTGTAGAAATGTATGATGAGGCCCTAGTAATGGAGAAATCTGTTTGATTTCCTGCCAGTTCAAACTGCAAGGAAACGCAGAAATCCAATGTCTGCAGATGGGGCAGTGATGTCCTTAGACCAAACATCAGGGAATTTAGTTAGCTATCAAACAGAATACTTTATAATACAGTTACATTTATACTCTTATATCAGTATATTAAAATCAAGCATTGCATCTGATTACTGAAAGTTTGGTATTAACAGTGCTTTGGATAAAGACAGCACTCCCCCAAGGAAAACACCACTGACTTAAGGGAAATTTGACCTGCGTAAGTCATGAGTAAGAAATTGATCCCGTATGTTCTCGGGAATGCCCTTAGACGACTGTTTCCTTTTGTCAATTCTGAAATATGGAGGAATTCCTGGGAATTCAGTAAGAGAAGCTGGTGCCAAAAAATGAGTCACATATTAAGATGTGTTTCATAGTGTACCTGGCTTTTCCGGGATTGCCTCTCGTGTGCTGTTCATCAGATCTGCTGATAAAGCAGCTGGTCTGTGGAGTGGCATAGTTGTTCTTTTTTGGTTTTAGACGATCAAATTAAGGCTTCTTAAATACAGTAATTCTGGTCAGCAAATAATCGCATGAACAACAGGCATGCTGTGCACTACTTTATATAAAGAAAAAAACTTCATTTTCCATACCTTACCAGTCTCAACTTGAAATATAAGGTGAAGTTCATTTTAACTTTTTCTCAGGACAGGATGTAACAGGATATTAAAGCCACTAGAGAAAAATTTAACCTTAAATTAAATTTTGTTAAAGAAATCTTAACAAAGTTATTTTGAATAAGTAATTCTATGCACATCACAACCAACTGTTATAACGCGTAAGAAGTGTCACACAGTGTGTGAACAGAAGTGATTAGGTACTACCTAGAAACAAAAAGGAGATGAAGCAGATCTTAGGAAACCAGGAAGAAGGAAAGGTGAAGAGTATAGTTAGATTAGATTAAGTGTGCACAGATGTAGATATATTTAAAAATTAATTTTAAAATGAGTTATTTGTAGATTTGGTAAGAATAATTCCTTTGAACATAGTAGTTATATCTCTGTAATATCAGTACAAATAATACAAGAATGAGTCTCCATATTTGAAAGTGTAATTCTGCGTGGACAAGACTATAAAACATGTTGGTGCAGGTTCTGTTGTTTTCCAAATAGTGACGTATGCTCAATTTGCAAGAACGTGTATTTTTATTTGTGGACTCCAGACACTGTTCAGCCAATCAAGCTGTGTTTTTCTCCATTGTCTCAAGTCACCACTAATTGTCCTGGAGGGTAAGTCATGACCCAATGACAATTATGATATGTTCTGTTGCCTTGAGCTGATTTACCTAAGCAGAGCTGATTAGAAATTAGTAAGTGATTGATCCTCTTGCTGCTGTAGGCTGAAAAAATCAATAGCAGTTCACATTTCCTTTGCTGTTGATTGTGCAGTGCAAAAGGGAATAAAAACCCATAATGGTTTATTTTCCCCAGTGAAATCATATGATGCTACTGCTACAAAAGCTGCCTGCCTTAGAGGTCTGCATGCATCCGAGAATCTAATACTCCTGCTGAGCAAGTAGAATGTCTATGCTTCTGTGACTCATAGTTTAACAGTAATTACAAGCTGCAGCCATGTTTACACTTCTTACATGGGAAGGAATAAACATCCTTTATATACATTACTGTACTGGATGTTCTGATAATTTAATGTTCTACGTATTTTACAGTTGGAATGGCAAACTTATGGAGAGGTTAGCTTGAGGGCATTCAGGATTCCCAAAACTGGGTGAACTCATTGCTATGACATACGTATGTAGCCATCTCTCTCCACTGGGACTCTGATTTGGGTCACAACATTCCTCTTTCAGTCTTGTTTTCCATTTATACACATGAAAATATTTAGTGTAGTTAGGAGAAACAGAATGATTTTTATTTATTTCTAATGTAAGCTTTTTCCCACATGTTTTTTTGCACGGTTTGAACTTGAGAGGATGTCAAAACCAAAAGTGTTTTGATGCTTAGGGCAGAGTCCCAGGACCTGTGTTCTGAATCACAGCAAGGCTGAAATAACCAGAATGAAAAGCCATGACATGGGCCAGATCCAAAGCAGTGCTGTTGCTTTTCCTTAAGAAGTGTTTCTTTCACATTTATCTGGACTAAGGTGGTTCAGTCTCATCTTTATAGGTGTATATGGCAGGATATACACTTGTAGGTCTCTCTCACAAGTCGTGTGATCGATTCATGTCTGTATCCAGGCAACAGGCTTCTGTTATGCCTTGTTACTCTTTAATGCTTTAAATCTTTGCTGCAATTCACCTTTCTGTGCAGGCTTACTGGTCCTGTGTTGGATATTCCCCCCCAAGTGTTTAGCTATTTCAGGCCTGGCTTTAGTTTCTTCTGGATATTTTTACTTCTTGCAGTTTCTCCTCTGTTTGCCTATGGCACAGTAGTATGAGTTCACTGGGTCTCGCCTTACAAACTGGAATTTATTTCTGTGGTTGATGCTGTCTCTTGATCTGAGAAGTTCAAGCAGTATGCTTGGTCCTTTAGGAAACTCTGTCACAACATAACTGATTTTTGAGCTGTGATTTTATTTACAGGAATGCAAAAAAGCTCCCTGTTTGTTGAACACAAGTTGTCGACAACTGGAGACAGTTTGCATACTCACAGGCTTAGACCACTACAGCTA